TGGAGGGCGGGGAGAGATGTGACCCTACGTCTGTCATTCTGAGGGGAAGTTAATGGTAGGTCGAAACTGGGACCCAGCTGGTTCGTTTTTTCTGTGCTGCGTCTTACCCCTGCCCTCATCCCCCAAACGGGACAGGAAAGGGCTGCGTTTCTGGCAGGGAGAACATTCTGCGGGTCAGAGGACGCCGGGACCCCTCAGGTGCCAGAATAGCAAAGCCAGAAAATGTCCGTGTCCGGCCCGGCTGGGTAGGGCAGCCTATGTCCTGACAGAGCCAGTGGCTTGTCCGAGACGAGGCCACACAGATGGTGAAGATCGTACTGATCGTCTTTTCAGAAAGGGCAGCTCATAGGCGGCTGGGACATGGGGGCCACAGCTGGCGCACATCTGTGCGCTGGGCCTGGCTCAGCAACGGCGCAGCTGGCAGAGTGCAGGCGCCAACTAGCGGTGGCTCTCGGAACTGCGCCTGCCCGGGCGGCGGGCGACCTCCTGCTGGGGACCCAAGAGCCAGCCGCCGAGGGGCCGGGGTTCCCGCGCCCACCAACAGCGAGCGCCCTCCCCAGGCTGGAGCCGCGCCGGGTCCATGCCAGGTTCAGAGTCCCACAGGAACCCCATTCTCAGGAAACCCGTTTGTAAACCCACCATAGGGTGAGAGGGAGAAATCAGGCGGAGGGACTAGTAAGGGCACCGGTGCAAATCGAAACTACTCCACGAATCGAATTTCCAGCCCCCAGACCACCGGGTCCAGGCCCCACAGCCTTTCCAGGTCAACCCCCCTACCTGGCCAGCACGCGCTGGGCCTTTCCGCGGGAAGGTCCCAGGAGTCGGGTCGGAAGCTCCGAGGCCTGGGTCCCCCGCTTTCCTCTGGCTCTGCTGGTGGTGTCAGTTCTTCCGAGAGCCCTCGGCCGGGCGGTCATCAGCTCCGAGGTGTAGGCTCTATAAAACGGTCTAGTAAGGGCCCTGGGCATCCCCGCCCTCGAAGTGGCCAGAAGGACTGATGTGAGGCTTCACGAAGGGTGGGGATAGCTCTCCCGGAGCTAGAGGCTGGGCCAGAGCTCGTCTGCCGTAGAGCGCACGCGGGGCTTGATTTCGTTTGACAACGAAGAAATGGCTCACTCTGGGCAGGGGTCAGAGCCGCGGCGAAGTCTTGGGGCCACCATCGAATCCTGTGCTTTCCGAGGCTTGGGATTCGTCGTTTTGCACCTGTCCACTGCTGGGGACAACGAAAGACCGACCCAGTCTCCGAAAGGACAGGGAGACTCGGCACGCGTTCGTTCCCCAGGGTCCCGGGAGCAGGTCTGGGCCGGCGGTGAATGGGGGTTTGCTCTTTCTAGCTCTCCTCCCCGCTGCAGCCGCTCTCCAGCCCCTCTCGCCGGGCTTAGGAGGAGGAGGAGAAGGAATTGTTTGCGGTGAAGCCCGGCATTGGCTGGGCCACGCGGCCCGGAGTGGGAGCCAGGACCCGAGGCCGCGCAAGCAGACAGTGCCTTGGCTGAGCCGGCTGCGCCCCAGCGCCGGGGGAGACGCGAGCTGGGCGGGGGAGCCAGTTTGCACCCACAGGGAGGAAGGAGTTCCTCTCCTTTGGAAACCCGGCCCCGGCCTTTCCAGCCATCCCCGCGTTCTCCGCACAGTTTTCTTCTCAACGCCAATGCTCATCCTCTTCCACGATGCAGGACCGTGGTTACATGCGCAGAGGAAAACAATCAGGGCAAAACGTTCGCGATTTTCAGGCCCCGCCGTGTTTTTCAAAGAGCCACAGGTCACCACAACGAAGAAGGACGCTGTGAGGCCTGCGCGATCCTAGAAGTTGTTTGGAGGGGCGACCCGGGAGGAAGGGGACCCGTCGGCCCTGCGCCCAGTACGTGCCATGGAAGGCACCCTTTCCTCTGTCCCCACGTTGGCACCGGGGCCGCGGAGGCTGGGATCGAAACCCCAAAGACTGGGAGCTGCAGAGGGGTCCGGGCCAAACGGCGCGCGCCTCATTTCGTGCGCGGTGGAGGCTTGTGGGGCAAAATAACGGGTGAGGCGGTGGAGTGAGGTGTCTCTGTGGGGCACCTCCTGTTTAGTCACCAACCTTGGGGCCAGACGGGCCCAGCTAGGGGTGTAGGCGCCACCCGCAGAAAGCAGCTGGACCTGGGGAAGCCCGCCCGCGGGTGGCGGGAAAAGCAAGGGGAGGGGAGCTGCAGCCCCCGCGTCAGGGAGGCGCGACCCCGAGGCCGCCTCAAACGAGCCTTCTGCAGGGCCCGGAAGTTTTAAACTCAGATTAACCGCGGCCCCCGCCGCCCTGGACTGTCAAAGAACCCCAGAGCGTCGCGCCGGGGCCCGGGACCAGGGGAGCCCAGCGCGGGGCGGGGCTTTGCGCCCCTCCCCGTTGGGCGGCCTTCGGCACTCCAGTTCCTCCCCAGAGGGGCCCTCGACGGGGGCTCCGATTGGCTGCGCGACGCGTCGCTCGGCCGGCCCCGCCCTCGCGGGCCCCGGGG